TCAAATCTTGCTCTTCTAAAATCCCATTCAATCAAAATCACAAATTTATACAAAAAAAGGAAAAACTCACGGTCTTGCAACGACTCAATGCTTGAACCGCAATCCGAGGATCGATGATCGCAACTTGCAATTAGCCGCCGTTAACGGCAGCAGCCCGCCGTGGAGGCGACCCGACTTTTCAACTTATCATTACGCGTTCCCATCGTTGAGCGGCAGACTGAATCGCGGCGGTGAATCGAAAAAGTTTCAAGATCGGGAATCGGGAAACCGGCCGGTTTTTAACCAGTTTTCCGCGAACTCTGGCACGTTTCTATCGTTGCTGAAACGAGGGGAGGTTTCGGTGGCCAAGAGAGTGGGGGCGGGAGGAGGAGGAGGAGGAGGAGGAGAGCGGAAGTTGCCAGAGGAACAATCTCGCGAGCGCCGAACCACGCCGACGAAATGGAACGTTTTATTAGGAACGTGTCTAGCTCTTGACACGAGGAGGGCACCGCTGGTGGGAATGGGGGAGGGGGTTTAGATGGCTCGTCTCGAGTTTCTCGACATCGGTTCCCAGACAGACGAAAAGCTGATTAAGATCGATTCGGCAAAATTATCCCTGTAATCTCTTTCGAGAGATTCCGGATTAAGAGGATCGCGCTCAAATAGGATTTCAAGGCTTGGAACAAAAGCGATCATCCCGGGCCTCCTCCCTTCCCCCTTCGTCCCACTCTGTCGAGCGTGCTTCGTGGTTGATTTTCATTTGAAATTCGAACGCGAAAACCGCGATCGAACAGTCCCGTTGTGCGATAATATTAATCGCCAGATACCGATCGAACCGAACTGAAAAAGTTTGCACCTACGTTACTGTTTAGAAGTGACTGGACAGATTGGAGTAACAATAGGTACGTGAATGTCCAAGAGACAACGATGAGGTAGCGATCTACGGAGCAACATCTACGAATTAATTTCCTCAATTTATAAATTTACTTTCGGAAATGAAAAGATCTTTGACGTTTAAAAAAAAAAAGAAAAAAAAAAGAGAAACTTTATTTGTCCTTTTAAGACTATGAAAAGTCACACTCAAACGACTCGAAGATGAAAAAGTCGAAATCGATAAGTCCACAAAATAATCTACGGATAACGATAATCGCGAAGCTCGTTCGAATCGCTTTTCACATTCGCGCACGAGGCGAATTTGCCGATTAGCCGGAGTGAGAAGGTACGCGGACGTTTTCGCAAAAATAGCCGGATCGTGATCCGCTTTTAATGACAGATCCGCTGATGCAACGGGACACAACGTCCCAGTGGCAACCGATTGCGTAAATCTCGTTAACGTGACGAAAGCCAAACGCCGACGTCATCTCTTCGCGTTCGAAAATTCGTTATTTCTCTTCATCTGTATCGCTGGCGAAGGGGGGATATTGCCGCGCCCCCGTTGCGAGCTTCTCGTTCCGTGCATTTTTCCATGGAAAAATATTTCTGCCGTCTCACGACGACGAGAGCCACGGGTTTTACACGGGGGGATCCTCCTCTGTATTGGAAGCTATCAACTTCGCCACCGGAGTGTCCCGTTTTTACGCCCTTCGTGTACACTTTGCATGCAGCTACATACCAGGCAAATTAAATTTTTTTACACGCCCCGCGGCATTTTACATTCGACAGTCGTCAACTTCTTGCGCAGGTTTTCTCTTTCTCTCTCTCTCTCTCTCTCTCTCTCTTTCTCTCTCTCGGGTTCTCTGCCGCAACGAAGACAACGATTTTTGCAGCTCGAGGTCGGCTCTGTAAAATGTTGCACGTACGAGAGCCCTTGTTCTCGGGGAGAATTGTATTATACAATCGGAGAAATTTTACAATTGCCCGAAACCACGGTTACGGCATCAACGAGTTGGTGAAAAGAAGAGGAATTGCATTTGGAAGACAGATTGCATTTGGCTAGCTTTGTTGAAAAATCGTGGCATAATATATGTACAAAATACAACGTGTCGCATTATGCTTGCTATTTGTGCCGTGAGAGTGTGGATTATCTAGAGAAATGCTTCTAACGTAGAAGCGTTTGTTTCTTGCCATTGTCAATTCTAATTTTAGAATAACACTTTTACTTTTCTTTCTATTTCAGACTAATACTTTTACGTACACTTTAATATACAGTACGACACAATATAATGTATGTATCATTAGGAATTATTTCAAAAATATGAACGGTATACGTATGCATTAAGTAATTATAGTTTTAAATATAGTCGCTATTTTTTCAGCTATATAATAGTTCACAAATCCGCACATGATATAAGAAATGGAAGCACGAATTTCGATATCGTGATTCAATCATGTTTTTCAATCCTAGAATGAAATTTGAGCATTTTGAATGATCCTAATTCAATTATCAGAGTTGTCTGGCATCAGAAAGAATTAAATCTACTACCCAGTATTCCCTCGAACTTGAATATCGCAAATTTGAGTTTCGGCGTAAATATTTTTCGAATTTCGTCATTTTTCTAGCTATTCAAATTAATTATCTGCACGCGGGAAAATTCACTCTTGATTTTTTTTCTGATGATAAAGCGTCAATAAATTTGTAATTATAGGAAACGTCGCAATAGAAATATTTTTAGGAGACTAGGTTCAGTTCACAGATTATTGACAAATTGTTGACAAACGTTTCATGAAAATAATTTTGGAATAGGGGAATAATTAAAGAATTAATAATCGTTGCTCTTTTATTACTGTTAATTGTGTTTTTAGTCATTTAACAACTAACATTGTGGAACTTACTTCAGTCGAGTTCGACTCTGTGGTTATCGGCCGCAATCAAAATTCCTAGATTGTTGCTACAAACTAATAGTTCACCAAGATTAATTGTTCAGTACCTTCAATATAGTTCGACGTTAAAACTCTATGTCAATGTAACTCATTCAAATTTCTATTTGATTATCATTGTAAACAAGTCAGAGAGAATACAAAGTAAATTAATAATCAACTGATTAACTAAGAAAGTTGCATACTTTAGCGTTGGAAACCTCTGTCCTTCTAATTTTACTTGCAACTAAGGAAATTACTAATTCTGAACACGAAAATGTTAGAAGTTTCTGTTCTTTCAGTATGCTATACGTGTGTAGAAAATTACTAAACAACAAAAAAAAAAACAGAAAAGAAAAACTCCTAAATTGGAATGCTGAAAGATTCTATTCTGATAGTTAGTATCCAACTAAAAAAATTAACTCGAAGAATTCCGTCCTTCATTATGCATTCGACGAAGAAAATTCTAAACTGAAGTGCCGAAAGATTCTATTCTTTTAATTTGCATTCAAATTATGTCAAAATGATTCTAAATTGCAATTTTAAAAAATTCTGTTCCCCCATTGTATATCCAATAAAGAAAAGAAAAATAGCTAATCGACAAATTAACCAAGAAAATTACAACATTGAGAGTTAAAACATTCTGTTCCGTCGACCAGCCGTTTACCACGAAACTTCGTCATGGATAGTTCCAACAACCATTAATCCCAACGCCAATTCAACAAACCGGCATAACCACGACCAAGTGCTCTAAATTATGACACCATTTCTGCGTCTGCGAGAGTGTTCTCCATTTAACTGAGCACCGCGATGCATCATTTCCTCGCCGGGTTCCTCGTTAACAAACACAAATCAAAAATCGAACCGATTTCTGATTCTCGCCAGTTTCTTTTCACGTGTCGGGGAAGAATCATCGATATTCTTATCGATATTCCATCCGTAGGCCCGCAATGGCACTTTATGCGAAATCAATAGGCTGATCGCGCGTATACGCGAGCGAAACAAGACAGAGCGGAAAACAAAAACGAAACAAACGTTCGACGAGAAACCGAAAAACGATTTAAAAAGAAACGTAGGGAGGGGAGGGAATGGGAGAAAAAGAGAGAAAAAATGGAAAAACACAACGAAAAGATAGGGAAAAGAGATGGGATAGAGAAAAAAAGTTGCAAGCTCTAGCGAGCCGTTATCGGGAACCGGTGCGTTAGCTGTCTGGATGGCCGCTTTTAATCCGTTAAATGCCATTTCCTTGTACACGTCAGCTGCGGACCAATGAGCTTTCGAGGCGCCCGAAATGTCCGCCACTCGTACCGCCATTCACTGCCAGGGGACCAGGCATCCTCAAGTGCTCTCTTAGCCTATTCCGTTCGGGATTCCATCGGGATTCCTCGTGTGCGTGTAGTGTGTGTACACAGCCACGCGTGTTCCATTCGATCGCCGCGTATTCGACGAACGCGACACCGGAAGCACCGACCGCCCGCTCCGACAAATAGCCCCGGATTCCGACGCGTGATTCATATTCCGTCCGAGGATCTGAATCCCGCGACCGTTTACCTACGAGGAAGTGACAGGCAGAAAAGGAGAGAAAGGATTTTTAGGAGAGCTTGATACTATTGATATTTTTTTTTTTTTTTAGAAAAGACAAACAAAAAGGGAGAAAAAGGATTTTTAGAAGAACTTGATACTAGAAACCAAGGACCTCTGAGAAAGTGACGGACGGAAGGGTGGAGAAAGGATTTTTAGAAGAAATTAACATTGTTGATATTTTTTTAAAAATCAAGGATCATTCACCTTTGAAGATGCAACAGAGAGAAAGGGAGAAAAAGGATTTTTAAAAGAACTTGACGTTATTGATATTTTTTGGAAATCAAGGACCGTTTACTTCTTAGAAAGTGATAAAAGAAAAAAAGGAGAAGAAAGATTTTTAGAATAACTGGACGTTATTGATATGATTTTAGAAATTAAAGACTTTATATCTAAAGAAGTGACAGACAGAAAGAGAGAAAAAGGATTTTTAGAAGAATTTAATACTATCGAATACTTTTCAGAAACCAAGGATCGTTTACCTCTGAGAAAGTGATAGAAAGGAGCAGAAAGGATATTTAGCAGAACTTGACGTTATTGATATTTTGATCCAGATATCGAGTCTTAGAAAGTGACAAGAAAAAAGGAAGGAAAAGAATTTTCTGAAGGAACATTATTGATATTTTTTTTTAGAAATGAAAGACCGTTTACCTCTGAGGATGTGACAGATAAAAAGGGAGAAAAATTTTTAGAAGAACATGCCATTATTGATGTTTTCTACCTCTAAGGAAGGGGAACTTATAGATCATAGATTATCAGACGAAGAGAGATTATTGCTGAGCAAAGATTCAAAGAAATTTGAAATTTAAAAGAACAGAAAGGAGAAGAAAAAGTTTGTAGGCACGAAGTGTTCGATATTATCTCGACTTCGCAGAAATGCTTCTAGCTAAACTAAAATATGTTTCTCAGAGTCATAATAGTCGAAAATTTTTTTACACGCCCGTTTCTAGAAATTTGAAGTTCGACATGATTTTGAGAAGGAACAAGAAGGAAGATATCTGGATACAAAGTTTCAAGTTGACGTATTATTGTTTCGACGTTTATAGAGAATCGTTACGTTTGTTCGCAGGAGAAAGACTGTGGCGGGTCTTGAACGTGGCGAGAGAAGAAACGAAGGAGAGAAGAAGCGAGGAAAAGGACAACGTGGTGAATTCCCCTGGTGAAAACGACCTGATGGCCGTCCAAGTGTAGAGCGCAATGGATACACAGGTTCGGGTGGCAAGTCGCGCATGAAAATTTCAACGGTGACAATCGCGTCTCGCCAGGCAAAGCGGCCGAGAGCACGCTCCCCTGCCTCTCGATCCGATAATGCACACCTCCGTGCGTATCTCATTAAAGTTCGCGGCGTGAAACGCGCGCCAGAAAGACGCGAAGGGAGGAGGAGAGAAAAAGGAATCGGCGCGAACAACCGTGAAACGCACCGATGCTGATCCGATCACGGCCTGTAATCGAATTTTTTTTCCCACCGTTGTTCTTTTCCTTCTCCGGTTCCCTCTCTTGTTCCCTCCGCTGCTCCTGGCATTATCTTCTGGCGTTGTTCTTGGATCTGCAGCTGCTTGCAAGGAACACCAAGGTAATAGGGAAAGGAAAACTCACGACAGAGCGTTCGTTTCACTCGAGAGTGCTTTGCGCAATACGCTGTTTTTTTTCTTCCCCCCCCCGTGGGAAGAATCTTCTAGTTCTTGGATTTACGCTGATGGAGTAGCACATTCTTATTATAGTTTCGTGTAAATTTCCTTTACTGGCTCGTTAACGTTCCTGTGATCGTTATTTTTTCGTTCGCAATTCGTACATTTTTTCTTTGCGACTCTTTGAGAGAAAGAAATCTGTTATTTTCCAGGTGAACGTGAACGTGACACAAATTATCGGAGACGTAATTGAAGGAGGAAAAAAGAAGAAGGACGATGAGTTACGCAGTTACTACGTAATTTTATGCGAGAAATTAACGAAACAGGTTACACCGATTGATGTAGAAACCTGATAAAAATCGTTAGATTATCGGGAAAGATCACGATTTATTAGTTTTCATTGGACGTCGTTCGTGATTCATTTTTCTCACCGAACCCTGTTGCGCATACCCACAGTCGAGCCTCCTAGAAGACAAATTCATTGAAAAAAAGCAAATGTTTCGAGAAAGATTCCCCGTAAATGTAAAAAATTTTTCAACGCTGACGAACTACGATTAAGTTAAAAATAACTCGATCAACATTAATGGCACGGTTAATCGGGCAAATCGATTGTAATCAATATTTTGACTCCGTTTAACAGCAGCATGGTCACTTTGAATCTAATCAGCAAGCATCGTCGTTGCGTGTGGGTATAGCTTCCACGTGTTATCGACAGTCAGGCGACAAGAGAGTAAATGAATGTGTTTGCAAGATATTAATTGATCCTTTATTACAACAATCGATATAGAGAATTATTTCCTCATCTAAACCTAAAAATGCGCACTTTCGACCATTTATAGAAAATAAATATCAATACCTACGTTGCTCATCATTACTCAAAATATGTATGTGCGAATTGAAAAATTAAAATTTTATCTAAAGAGAAAGTACTATCTATTTAACATCTTCTTTTCATCTTTCTGTGTATTCTTTTAAATTTCTTTTCGTTTATTCTTTTGGGTAACTTTATTCGTTCCTCTACGCTCGTTCAAGATTGATTGTTTTGCTTAAACATTTATATAATGAAGCAACGAGAAATCAAAAGAAACGAGCTTTATAGTACCGTATTCTCCTGGAATTTACCGAGCTCTTAAGGAATTAACTTTCAGAATATTATAGTCCAAGTAATTCTTAACTCGTAAATAACTGCAATTTAATTAACGAACCGCAACATAATTAGAAACGTTCAGCGAATTATACGATAATACTACTGATAATAAAATTCGCCGTTTCTTTTTGCAGTTCTAATTTGTCGTTTGCAGAGTGCTACCTATATGGAAATGGAGCCACCAGTAGAAATAATAATAATTAAAGGAACAGCTCCAACGAAAAGCTGCGAACTCATCATGTCGATCTAATAGAGAAATTGAAGTTCATCTTGTGGCTAAACTACTTCGTTCTAGTCCAACTTCAAATTTTGACAGAAAGATAATGAGACTATTATTCCGTAATATAGGACACGCAAATTTAACATGTCGCGCAATAATTACTCTCTGGTTGACAGATTCCACATATATTTCTCAATCCATTTGACGATATTTTTAGAAAGATTTCACCTGAATCTGAACACATTGATTTAACTCAGAACTTGCGTGCCTATCGTATCAAAATTCGACAAGAAAACATTAATTTCACTAAAAATATCTACATGCATATTTCCATTGAAATAATTGTAGAATCAAAAGACCTTAAACTCGTTGTTCAGAAGAGAATTTTCGTTATTTCTTCTACCTAGATTTTACAATTTTGTGTTAAATTACAGAAATTGACGTATTCACAACATTACTACAAGACTGACGGATTTTTACGTGAATTCACATTATTGAGAATAAAATTCAAAAATGTAGAAAAATTACTTTGCATGACTGTGCTTTATAATACTTTAATATTTATTTTAACAATGAGTTACAGAGTACCTCTTTGTCGGAATTATTTAATTTTCCTTAACCACTCAAATATTAATAAACCATCTATTACGAGCCACGTGGGTTTAAATTCTGTCTCCATAATATGAACATCGAATTTTAAAATCATTCTTACGAAAATGAAAAGTGGTGCAAAGTCACGTTTCTCTTTTTTCGGCCGACAACCACGAAACCGGCGGGAAAAGGAAGTCACGCGTCCATACGCGACAGCGATAATACAAATGTGATAACGTAAGAAAATATAGTGCGTGCTGTCTTTTCGTCTCTCCCGGGGTGTGTGTACCTTCGCCGGTTGAAGCATTCTCCATCAGCATTTCACGCACGAACGAACGAACGAAAGAAAACGGTGTGGTTAAATCAACGTTCCGCAGGAACAAGCAAATACGTAGCACGCGACGATGCTGCCTCCGCCTTGAGTTACGAGGTACCAGACGATGCAGACCGGCAGTGTGTAGCAGAGGATGTAACCGGCGTTCATTACATGGACACAGGGAGCGCGCGCTCATTCATGGGAGAGAGAGCCGAGATGACAAAGCCCCGGGACGATATAACGGCCGGATAATATTTTCTAGTTTATCCGCGTTGGCCGTACACTCGTGTGTGTTCTGGAAAAAGCTCCGAAGGCCGTACGTTACGTACGCGTTGGTCGTTCATTGCCTGTCGCGAGATATCGCAACGTCACGGTTTGCCTGGCAGGGGAGAAAAAAGAAGAAGAAGAAATGATAGCCAACGAAAGTAGACACGGGAGTATCTACACGGGAGGAAGAAAAAGAGAGCAGAGAGAGAGAGAGAGAGACCAGTTTGAACGACATGTATGAAAATTCAAACGAAACGCTACTTCTACGCGTGAGAAATTTCAACGACAAGTCGCGATTTTGACTGGATTTCGTTTCTGCAAGACAAACGAAAATGGTATCGATCGGGGACAATTTGGATCGTAATTAACCCGACATTATCGTGTTTTGTATGTATGTTTTATATCTGTAGGGTATATATGGCAACGATCATGATACAATTAACAAGGGAGCGATTTCACGTGCAAAATAAATCAAATAAATCAAACACGGTAGCGGCAGCGAGCTGGTGGATCGTTCTCGATAAAATCGAATTTGGGAATTTGTTTAGTATTTATATACACATGTGGAAATGGTTAATTACTGACTGGGTAAACTGGTTCGGCAGAAGGTTTTCGTATTCTACGTACGAAAATAATTTAACGCGCGTGTAAAACGTTTGAAGTATAGTTATACAGATATTCACAGACGAAATGTTTGACAGATTCCATTTCTTTTACTGTGCTTATGATCAACAATCATATCAACGATCTTTTGCTACAAGTACTAATCCTTTCTTGCAAACAAGTTTACCACTACAAATGATTGATGAATCCAGACTAGACCCTTCGCTGTAAAATTGTCCTATTAAACGAAGAATTACGAAATTTCGAAATTCAAGACTACAACTACTTGCATTCCTTGTTCACATAATATCACTGCTTGTTGAATCATTACGCAAGAGAGCACTTGACTCGTTTTGATCATCATCGTTTCATCAATTTGTGAAACTTTTGTTTCTCATAACACACATACACACACACACACACACACACACAATGTTACTGCAGACCCTCGTCTGTCAATTTACATGAATTTATTTTCGTACATGTATTCCGACACGGATCTTCTGTGTTTTGTCAATCTGTGTCATTTTGTTTTCGCATGTCCACACATTTCCTTGTGTATTTTTAACTATCGTAGCTGACAGCTAGCCGACTAATATAATTTAAAACGCGAATACGTGAAACACGAATCAGTTGCCACCTGATAATTGTGATGGATGGTTTATCGAAATATTGACCATGTTACAAAGCCCGATCATTGAACATCCACGGAAAAATATGTGACAAGGCAAGAAATGACGAGTAACCTGATTTGAAGGGTAATTTTTGAAAAGTTAAGATCAAAGTCTCAATATCTTTGACTAACAAGTGCCAGGTTAACGAGGTTCTCGAGTAAGTGAATAGTAGATCAACAGTTCAATGAAATTGAAAAGCTCAATAAATTATACAGGGTAAAACTAATTTTACATTAGTCCAAGTAATGATAATTTCGTACTATTACTTTAAAAAGAAAAACTAACACTTTTCACAGCAATCTCTCTTTAAATTTAAAATAAAATTAATTGACAAAGTTTCGGCAAAGTCATCCTATTTCAGATTACTCTTTTTATGTCTCAATGATCTCCCATTTTATTTTCCGTTTCGTCACTGTCCTATCGTGCAATGTCACTGTCAATCTTACGATACCTAACTTCTAATGTGTGATTACAATAATTGCATACCATGAGGAATTGACACTGTTGTTGTTAGTTACTATTTATGAAAACTTGACTGTACTTAATGACAACGTGTCAAACAAGCAATTATAGTCATACGTTGCACGTATCAATCTTTCGCGCGTATGCGTATACACGTGAATTTCAATCGATTCTCAAATCCAGATAATTGCAATGACTTTGGATTTCTTTTATTATCTTTATTATAATTTTTGACGTAAATGCTATTTAAGAATTTTATTCTATTCGTAAATTCTAGCTTGAAAAAAAAATTCTGAATAAATTATGTTATTGATAATAAGTGATTCACAACTCGATATTTGCTACAATGCAGCAAGTATGTGCGATTAACAATATAAACAATTTTATTTAAAAAAATCGTGTAATTCAAAATTCTTAATTTACGAACAAAGCTGTCAATGTTACTTAACAAAAACCCTGTTTATGTTACTTATTTTTATTCGTACGTGCTACACCACGACTAATTAGTTAATTGAATTTATTATTCCATTTTATTAAAGATATCTTCGTTCTGTGTGATTAAACACCTGAAGAATATTGAAAATCTGAAGAATATTGAAATATTGAATATTGAAAGAATATTGAATAAGAACACCTTTTGAATATTGAATACAGTGAGGATGAGAATCTTCTTTAAAGATGTAATCTTGCACAACAAACATAATTATTTTCATATAAAACTCATTTGTCATTCGGGTCAAGATAACTGGCGAACGATAGCAAATTGGATGAATAATAATCTTCCAATTATTCTTATCGTAAGATTTACTGTTACAGTTTTAATAAGATTTCAATTGTAGGAAGCTAACAGAAATCCTTTTTATCGCAACATTTCTTCAATTAAGCTCGTGTTATCTCAAAATAAATATTGACAACTTCTCTCGGGCAACAAATCAACATTTAACATTATAATCATTGCTCAGTTAGATTGGGGGATCCGCAAACGCAATAGTGATATTTCATTTCGAGCCACATCTTTCTGTTGATAGTAATTGTTGCTTCATCATTCGAAGATTACGTCACACTACCGAGCTACTGTGTAATAAAATGTTAATTATTTACATTAACGTAGAACGTACGCCTATTAAACGTAGAAAATTTTCTGCAATAGTTACAAATTTCGTGAACAAACCTTTAAACCCTGCTGTTCTCCCATACCTTTCTCGAAAGTCGAAAAATTTCTCAACAAAAAGACGCGATTTTATTTAAAAATTGTCGCACGATTGTCCTCGATTGCACTTAAAACTTCAAATTATGAAAAACATGCCAGAATTTTACCGTTTACTTGCTCGAAAGTCCAAAAATTTCTGAAAAAAGACGAATTATATTTAAAAATTGTCGCCCGATTATTTTCGATATATTAAAAACGCGCCAGGACTTTTACTGTTGGCCGCTGTCGTTCTGTACAAAAAGAGGCTTTTACGATTGAACGTGGTGACTTCGACCGAAAATGGTTTGCATGCCTGTGTAAACGGGCGTGCCAGGCAGTACCGAGGTCGAGGCACGCGTGTAGTCAACAGGACTCTTCTTAATTATGCTACCTGACTCTGCACGAGACTCTGTACGAATAGGCGCTCTACTGTTAGCTCGAGTAGGGCCAGAGTCGAACGATGAACTTGCAAAAGAATCCCATTCGTGACAGGGTCCTCCGTAAATCGCTCGCGTGCTCCGTTGAAAGCGATTAATATCCCTTGGACGACGTCGATACAATGAAACTTTGAATATCCGAATAATTCGAACGGAATTAATACCGAATATTAATTTCAAATTATTATATTATATCGTGTCGTATATTATATATTATATAGAAGGTGATCCTGCTATTTCCGCTATAATTTTGTCAGTAGATTCTACGAGTAAAAATAACAAACAAATTCCAGATAAACGTATGCACAAAAATTTGTTAAAAAAATTATAACGAAAATTCGAAATATACACACATATAGTATAGTAAGTTTTCATTTGGATAACTAAGTTATTTAACAATTTTCAAGCAAGTTTTAACTACACACGATGTAGTAAGCTTTCACTTGGTTTTA